AACTTGTGATTGATTCTTTGTTAAAACGTGTATCCTGTGAGTGACAGAGGTGACTTAGTATTGTGCTCAGAAAGGTTATTTTGGTCCTGCATCCAGCATTTTAAGATACTTGTATGGTCGTGCTGTAATCGTTACAATGACCATAGTGATATCAGTGTGGAAAAAGTTTAAGTAAAATGTATTCCTAAGAGAATAAAGATCTTACAGGATAAGCAGTAAGCATGCTGTTTACAGTGCTTATGTAAATTTACGCAGCTTAAAAAGCAAAAATCAAGGCAGCCGTGGAATTCTTTGGAACAGGTTTCCTGAAGAGAAGTGCACTGACTTCTGTAATGTTTCTATTCAAATAGGCAGTTCCCGATTAAGAAATAGCAACCTATCAGTATAGTCATCTTATTACTTTTTCTCCTTACTTTCATTCCATGATAGTGAATCATTTTTACTCCTTAGTTTCTCCTGTGCCATATACAGCATCCCTGTAATAATTTGGTGACTCAGTAAAACAATAAAGCCATAGGAATTTACTAGCTTTATTTCTGTGTAAGAATCTTATCGTATCCCTAGGAAGTAACTGATTGATGTGGAGTGTCAAAGAAATCTGTGCAGTAGTCTAAAGTGGCACCTTATGGTCTTTTTGGAGGAGAAGAAAGAAATTGTTAATAGGTTTTTTTTTTAATTATTTATTTAAAAATTAAAAGTTTGTCTAATGTGAAGTCATTAGTAGCATCATGTAGAGCAAAATACACACTGACATAAAAAATTGTATTATATCGTAACAGCTGAATACTTAGTACATTACTTTTCGTCAGATGTCCAGAAGCCGTTCCTTGCTGTTTAAAAAGATTTCAGCAAAGGTACTCAGAGAACAGTATAGTTCAAAACTTCTTGAGATAGGTATTCCCACCATACTGCTTCATTGCTATGCAAGACATAGTACATTGTTGAAAATACCCAGAAAATAGATGTAGCACCCTTATGGATGCTAGCAGTGGTGAGATTGTATTTAGTTTGTCCAACAACTTTTCCTTTTGTGCTGTTCTTCCTAACCCTCCAAATCCAACACTTGAACTTTGCCTAGAACAGAATTTGGAAACAACTTTAATCGAGAGCATCTTTTTTTGTTTTCTGTGCTTGCAGAAATCGCTACTCAAGTTCGTAATGTGAGAAAGTTTGAACAGAAGCCCTCTCTTTTTCTGGACGAGTACTAGAAATATTAACTGTTCCTTTGTATGAGTGAGAAATAGCTCGCAAATTAGTGTAGCTGCAGGAAGTACCATGTGTGGGGTGTAGTGTATGGGAGGTGTGGACCTCCTGCTTGAGATCCTGCATCTTGTCCATACCCATTGTGCTGTGGAAAACACCTGTGTTTTACTGGTGTGTTTGCCCTGGTAAAAGAACACTGTTTTTCAGGCTCGCTATTGACATATAAATTGTAGTTGTGTTTTTTAGTGTGGTTATGTTCAATTCATTGGACACTGTAGTCCGTCTCAGTGCATAGAAATTGTCTGCTCTGGTTTGCATTAATAATCACACCCTACAGTCATGTAGCCTCTCTTCTTCCCCCAGAACATGTTGTCCTGCATCCTTTTCCTAAATATTTTGCCACTTGAGAGATATAATGTGATTACCTGTATAAACCAGAAAGTTTTCTAGGAACCTGTTGCAGCTGCTGATGCTTACATGTACAGAGTGCTTGTCTGCTAGACTTAATAAGATTCCTAAAGAGGGTTTTCCAAAATACATCCCAGATTATATGCTATCTGCTTTGGACTTTGAAAATCTCAGTCTTTGAGAACTTCTTTGAGTCATTGAGAGCTTCTCAGACTTCTGTTTGAGTATGAGTTACTACAGCCAGTCTTTGATCTAGGTGTAGCTGGGGGCTGGGAAGTTACGTTGATCCTAGACAGAGTGCTGCCCTCTCCTAATGGAGATCAGGGAGGAAGAGAGCATCCTAGCCAGCCCGCATAGCTTCCAAGTCAGAGTGGTGTTTCAAAGAGATCTCTAACAACCATAAAAACGATAGGTGGACGGTCTATTTTAGCATAGTCACTCGATTGGTAAGACTAGAGGTATGGTGATACCCTGAGAAAAAGGAAATTAATTGCTGCTTTAGGTCATTTTCATTCTCAGCAGATACACACCAGAAGGGATCAAGAGGGAAGGTAGCACTGGCAGCATTAAACATCTGCACTCCTCCAGGCAGGAAGCAACAGCAGCAGATATACAGAATTTCTTAGGGGTTGTTTAGTTTTTTCCTCACCCATAGATTAGATTCTGGATTATACCCTTCTGTTTTGTGCTGGACCATAAACGGCTTATTCAGTCCAGACTCTGTTCATAATACTAAAGAAAGTGAAGTATCTTTCTCTAAAGAACTTCTTACCTTCAGACAGATGTTTTTGCTACACGTGAAATTTTTTCTTGATATTTGTTTGGTCATTGACCGGTAATACTGCTTTCCCCATAAAATTGGATGTTATATTCATGCTTTCTGTTGCTTTGCTTTTAAAATCATCCATGACTTTTAACTTGAGTTGCTTTAAAAAATAATCTCCCGCTGTCTTCCAGTCTGGGAGAATTTTCTTTGACATTCATGTAAGGAGTTGTTGAACACCATTTTGAAGGAAATCTTTGCCACAGATCTGCCCACTTTGAAACAAAATGTAGACTTTGTCTCAGTGTAATTTTTCCACAGTAGCAATGGAAGATTATGAGGGGGTGCATTAATAATATTAATTGGAGATGGGGAAGTAGGTAGTCCTCAGGAAGCTTTTCACACTCTGCAACTGCCATATAATTAGCAAAACACATACTTTTCATGTTCTAAATATAATGTATGTCAGTGATCCAAAAAGAAAACAGCAGAGAGATGACTAGGAGTGGGGAGGCATTTAATCATATTACATTTCCTGTTTTCATAACTACAGTCTTTATTTTACAGGTCATCAAATGAAATACTTTTTAGTGATGTCCAATGATTGGATCAGCCCAGTAAATTTTGAGCTGAAACAAGCGAAGTCCTTTAGAGCTGACAGTCCATGAGTATTACGTACCTATGGAATTACTTAGCTCTGTGTACCTCTGACTTGAGTAATAAAGCTATCGCTTAAAATTTATTCCTGTTTAATTGCAGTATCTCTCTTGTTTCTAAGAACATCAGAGAAGTCCACACACAAAACGGGGATTTCCCCCTTCATGTAATAGACATGGGAAAAAAGGAGTCAATTGAGAATGTTTTAAAAATTGAAAGTGTTCACCTAAGTAGGAAACAGTTTAGCAGATCTAAGCCATTTGCTTCATAATGAAGGAAGATGTAAGAATTAATGAGGTTTAAGATGAAGAATGAATTTGTGGAGAAAAGTTATTTTTCTTTGGTTTCCATTTTTGTCAGTCAGTTTTTATTAGTCCCATAAATACTGTTACCTGCTGTGTCCCGTTAAGCACACAGGAATAAGGATCTACCTTCATCTCTTCTAGGGATACAACCAGCTTCAGAGCTGTAATCCTTTTCTTCCTTACAGATAAAAGGTGGTGCCATGGTGCAAATGCTTAATGATTCACTGGGAAAGAGAATGAGACCTTTGTTGAAGTATTGAGAGCTGAAGCAGGAGGGGTTGACCAAGTTCCTTTGTAGTCTGAGCCAGAAATGGGGATTGAAAAACACTCAATTCAAATAGACTTTGCTCATATTACAGGAAAAATGGTGTGAATTTATTGCTGACCTAATTTCTGCTCTTGGTAGCCTGAAACTTGGTGTGATCTGTACTTTTGTGGGTTCCAGTTTTGGGGTGGTTCTTGTTTCCAAGTGATTTAAGTATCAACCTGGAAGAAGGAGAAGATCAGAAAGCTGTTGAGATCGCTTAGGAATTGAAAGCATTTGTGAAAGGGAAAAAACGCCAAACCGTGTATCAAGACTTAGAGGTCACCAGTATTCTCTCCCTTGTTTGAGAAATGAGCCTGTCAGTGCTAGGAGTGAATGTCACATTTAAGCAGTAGCGTAGTGTGCCTGTATAGAAGTAAATTATACTTGATTTAAAGAAAAAATCTCTGCAATATCTTGATTAGGTTGCATATCTCTGGTAACGCGTCTTGCATGAATCTAGGTTTATGTTGTGTTGTGACTTTAGGAGCAGTTTTCACTCTTGACTGCTGTGTACCTACAGAGAAAACACAGGGCGTGTGGTGTGGCTGCTTTCTCCTTTAGTGGTGGTGACCATGCCTGCAGTCTGACTCAGCTGAGGAAGAGGGAAGGGCGACCACCTGTGTTCTGTGCACCTCTGTGTGAGAGATGTAGGACTTCTGATGCTGACAGTCCTGTTCTCCATGATTACCCCGATAAAATCTGAAGGGAAGTTGTGAAGTACTTCAGAACTACAAATGGACATCTCTTGTTCCCTCTTCTGTGACAAATTCCGTTCCCAGTCGTGTTGGCTTAAAAATAGTATGAGCACGTGGACTTAGTTAGGATTGGTTCTTTCTCCATTAAACACAATTTCATACAGTGTTTTTGGCTAAATTATTAGTTCCTAGCTTTTTCATAGGTAGTGGTCATTACGACTGCTCATTCCTCTCTTTCTCTCTGTCGTCTTTTTGCTTCTGCATTCTCATGCTTTCTGTTTCTACCTCTGTTCCTCATCACTAGTTGTAGCAACACCAGTTGTAAGCACTAATAAGCTTGGCCAAGCTTATTAACATGTAGTTCTTGTGTGACTCATTGTTGAGAACTAATAGACTGGATATTAGGTTTGAGTTTTCATGTTAGGTTGCCCCGCAGAATCTGGGCAAGAAGCCATTTTAATGTGGATGGTGTAAACACGTGGTTCTTCTGTGGATGGCAGCTTCCCTCATGGCAGTGATGTTTTTGCATTTGCTTTCTGTCGGTAAACACCACACTCATCCTGAGGGATGCTATACTGTTCTCTGAGTTGTATGTTAGCTCTTGTGTTCTAGGGTCTTAAAGATTTCTCCTTTCTGTTTTTTTTTTTTCCTCCTTTAGACCATTTCATGTGGAGCCTACAAACATAGTCAGTGTGAATGATGACATGCAAAGAGTCACTGATGAAGCTTCAGCAATGAATAAGCGGATTCATTACTATAGCAGGCTCACGTCTCCTGCAGACAGGGCATTGGTAAGGCAAAGACAGAGTCAGATTAGCTGAGCTGTCTCTGGCATGTTGAGTCTTCCACAGCCTAGGTTTACAAAAGAAGCGCAGATAAAGGTAGGGGGAGAATCGCTCTGCAGCTTGCTTTGAAGTAAATATCTAGTAGCTGAGTGCCTTAACAAGGTCTTGTGTTATCACAAGTTGTGATTGACTTCTTGTGCAATGCCTTCGTCATCCAGAGAAAACATAAAAACAGCTTGAATTTTGTAACAGTGGTCCAGGCTGCCTAGATGTGCGTACTCATTTCTCTCCATCTATAAGAGGATTTAAGCAGTGGTCAGCCGCAGTGATCGAACCAGCATGATCTGTGCATAGTATGTTACAGACATTTTGCAGAAGAAAAATCTATAAACTTTTTTCATGGAGAGAAAATTAATATAGTCCAGCCTTTTTTCTTTTCTTTTTTTTAAGAAAAAAATGCGCTTTTTATGGAAATATTTTGTGATTTACAACAGTTGGCTTGCTGTATTTGGAATAATTGTTACTTTGGTGTTACTAATAAGTCTTGTTCTTTATCCATTCATTAGGTTGCTCCTGATCATGTACTTCCAGCTCCTGATGAAATCTATGTGTACAGTCCATTAGGAACTGCTTTTAAAGTTGACAGTTGCACAGATGGCTATGGTAAAAACTCCAGTATAGTGACAATGTATGTTAAGCACCTTGCCATATATTAGCCAGAAAATACATTATTATTAAATATTCTGTATTGTATGCATAACTATTGTAGCTAAGAGAACAGTATGAAGGAATAGTGCTCCTTAAATTAGTCACTGTCTTTTTTTCTTTTCTTCCCAGATTTATGATATGGAATACAATGATGGGAACATCTATATTAAGTATCCCATGGGGAATAAAACAGGTAAAACTATGAAAAATATATTCGTATGAAAATGCTTTTGGCAACATGGTTCGCTCTTCATTTTTCTGAAGCATTATTGATAAAGCAAGTAAGCTGTATTTCTCCTTCTTAACAGGCAGGCTTTACTTCTGGAATCATTCTCATCTTACTGATGGGCATTTTGACTCTTTATTGCTGCTACAGAGTTGTGAAATCCCGGAAAACGATACGTAAGAGATACAAAGCTTCATAGTGCAAATGTTTCCATTAATTGTGAAATACAGAGATCTAATAGATTCTTAGCTTGTCTGTATCTTTACTACATGTTAGACCCGACCTGTAAATAAAAGCTGTTCCTTCGAACATCTTCCTACTTTAGTCTGGATCTAAGCTCTGTAACCTAAATGTCTGTCTTCCCTTATTAGTTCTTTGCAACCGAAGTGTTATAGCCAAACCCAAGCTCTTAGCAAGCAAGGTTTCAGATGTTCACTTACGAAGCGTTTGGGGACTTATGGAGTTAGAGGCTTCACTTCTTCTCTACAAGCACTGTGCAGTTCTCTACATGTATTTCTGATCACGTTCCACAGTGGAACAGTGTGGGCTGTAGCTGCATCCACTTGTGTTGTATGCCTATGCTACCCTAATATTTGTGTATGTTCTGTGTTGGAAGCAATTTATGGACAATTGCCTCACTGACAGTGGTTCTACTTAGAATGTACTTTTGTACTTCAAAACTCATCTTACACCTCTTGTAGTTGGTGCTTTTATGCATAAACTAACCCCTCACTTGTCCAAATAAAGGTAGTTAAGACATCCAGCTTGTGACAGCTAATTTCAGGGCATTGTTGAGGACTAATTTGTGGTCTGGCCTACTCCTGCAAAAGGCTTTAGCTGCAAATGCATGGCTGTGTTTTTGCCACCATGTCTTATTCCAGTGCTTCTGAAAGTACTCGAAGTAGTAATACGAACATAATAAAAGGGTCTGCTTCTTCAAGCTCCTTCAGTCAAAACACCTAATGAGTATTGCACTTTACAGTTAAGAGCAATCTTCTTAGCCCTTGGAAGCACTGTGAGTTTGAATCAGAATATTCTGAAACAAGAACAAATGCTGTCATGAAAATTTCTACTGACTCTAATATAACATTTTGTTTAGATATGTTTCTGGTTTTTGTATCTTCTTCAGCTTTAATAGATACCTCAAACTGGGAATTCCCAGATGTTTGCAAGTATTACTTTGGATCCTTTGGTCAATGGTCAAGCCTCTTGTTTTCTATGGTATCGCTGGTTGGAGCCATGGTTGTTTACTGGGTGCTTATGTCCAACTTTCTGTTCAATACAGGAAAGTTTATATACAGTAAGTATACAGTTTTGGTTCACTTTTACAGCTATCTTGTGGAAAGATCAAGACTGCTTCAAACCAAAAAAGGATTGTCCATTTTGCTTAATCTTGATTTTTCTGTTACTTTGCATGAAAGGTCAAGTGAGAATAAGCAACTGTGTGGAGCTATGAGCACACTCACGCATGTTTTCAAAGCCAGTTTCTGAATCTCTCTCTTCAAGTGTGGTTTTAATCAAAGACAAAATACCAATTAACTGATTTGCATGTCAGTAATGAGGTTTCATGGTGTAGTTTAAACAACCCAAACCTGGTTCCTTGTTTCCACCTTGTATTTTCACTCCCCCTGTGTTTGCCTAGGTGTAACTATTTGAACAGTCATATAACAGGTTAATGAAAAGAGGAATCATTCTAGATTTCGACAAGCACACAGTGCTACCATATAGAAAGTGTCTGCAAGTGTCCCTGAAGGAACGATGAACTGTAGCACAGTGAAAGGATGATTGTTAGACTGGCATTGCTACAAAAGAAAACATAAGAGTTATTTACACGTTTGTACGTGCACAGACACACAAGCTTTTGTGGATACAATCAATTAGGTATGTAGAGTTGTGGGAATAAATGATGGAACTGGGCTTTGAAAATCTGACTCATAGCGTTGAATAGCACAACTAAGATTTAAGAGTTTCTATTTTGAAGGTAATTAACAAATCTCTGAGGCAAACAGCAGCATAGACACCTATACCTCTTAAACAATGTTTAATTAGAGTTCCCACCATCCCTGAAGGACATACTTTACTTTATTGGTAAATGACTGGTGTATTTTACAGCTGACCTTATTCCTATATTGTTAAGGCCATTTCATTTTACGTTTTTTTGATAAGGTTAGCACTTTAATTCTAAATTATTCTAACCCAAATAACTCCGATTCTAATAAGCAAACTTCAGAATGAGCAAAACAGTTCCTTTTCTAGGAAAAAAAATCCTGCTTTTCCCCCGAGATTGGCATGTTATTTTATCATTTACCTATGTTTGCCAGGGGTTCTTGTTTAAGTTGTTTGCTCTGTGATAATACTAATCATTGGATTCTTTGTCCTAACTTTCATTGTGGCTACTTAATTACTAAGTTATAAAATGGGTAATAGGATGTAGGTTTGACACAATGGCATCTTACAGCCATGCGTTTCTAAGTTATTCTAAGCAGGCGACTATATTTAATTCTAGTACATTCAGATGACTTTTTTAAAAATATGCAGACACAATTTAGGTGGGAACAACCTGATTTCCTAAGGGAGGATGGTCTAGAAATTAGTAGTATGCAAAGAATGCAAGAACTGTAAGCCAAGTATCATATCCTGTCTTTTTATTTTTAACAGTATCCCATGCTTTTGTTTTGTTTTTGTTTTAGGAAACAGAAGTAAATCCACTAATGCAATTGCTAGTCCCAAAACACTTTTTAAGTACAGAGGAAGCATAAATTGGCTATCCATCTATAGTTAATTTTAAAGTGCTTTAATTCTGTAAGAGCTATCAGTTCTTTTGATGGCTTCACACTAGGTACTTTTTTGTAAGTAGCAACACAGAACAATGAATTGAGAAGGTGGTGACTGAATTAAATTTTAATTCTGATTTTTGTATACACTAAACTGATATCAGCAAGTAGGAGAAACTCAATTGTGATTCAGGGTGTCATAAATCAAAATGAAAAAAAAAAAAATAGTTTTCTTCCCACAAGACTTTCTGCTTTCTTTATGAGAAACAAGCTGATGTTAATTGCATTTAAAAAGTCTGAGGCTTACTGCACTGGTTGATTTTCTGTGTGCTTAATACTTCCATGTGCAGCAGAAGCAAATTTTAACTAAAGACACACTAATTAAATTTCCAAGCTTATGGGCCTTTTCTGTGTGTGTGTGTATATATATATATATACACACAAATGTAAGAAAACTGCTGTCCCAGTACTCTCATACTGGTGGAGCTGCAGAAACTTGAAAATATCTGGTGTGGTAGAGCTGTAAAGTAGCACAGGAGTGTACTGGAAACAAAATACTACTAGAGATGATTGTGGAGAGTGAGACTTAAACCTTTTTCCAGAGATGCCTTTCGTTAAAATACAACATGGAAAAAGCATCCCACAGAGCCTCTTCTGAAAAAAAGATTAGAAAAATGAGTAGGGCAAGGTTTTTCCCTATAATACCGTCTGGACTAAGGATATGATGGCATGCACTTTTTTCTGTCCCGAAAGAAGCTGGTTTTTAGCTTCCTTTAAAGCTTTTAAGTCTCCTCACTAACCTATTGTACAACATACAGACAGAGGAGCTGGGACAAGTCGAGGTGTGCTGGGGGAACAGGAATGAGCAGCTTGGAGAAGAGTCTTGGGAACTTCATAAATGGACAGGGCTGCTGAGAAGAAAGTGTGGTGAGGGGCTACTTTCAAGCTCTTCTAAAAGAAAGTTTTAAAATATCCACTTAGGGTTGGGGGTAGTGCAAGCTGCTGTATCACGTCTCTGATATTTTCCGAAATATTTCTTTGCTTATTTTAATCAAGTCAACGGATAAAAGCCTAATAGCAAGTTTGGGACACTGATAGTAAGATTTTTCTTTTTCTTTTCAGACTTTGTTCATGGCATTAATGTAACAGATATTGTTCCTGGCACAAATGGAAGTAGCAAAGGTAAGAAGTACTGAATAGTATTGTGTTTCCTGTTCTGAGGGGATGGTGTTTAAAGGCAAATCGCCATGTTTTCATGCCTAACCTCATTCCAGTTATAAACTTTATATGGTGAGTTCTAACTACCTGTTTTTAAGAAAACTGTAGTTTTCTACGTGAGACTTGTACTTCCACAAATATCCGCATGCTTGAAAAGCTTAATAATTGGGGAAAAAGAAAAGAAAGTGGGAGTGGAGATAAAGATTAAAAAGCAAATTGCAAGTTTGTGTATACCCAGATAAATCCTCCTTAAAACCATGAATGTTGGACCTCTTAACAGTATTTGCACACTAAGGAATTGCCTTAAGGAGTTGTAACTTTCACACCCTAAAATTGAGGCACATCAGATCTGTTCAGTGTTTGAACTCTTGGCTGGGGCATCTTTGCTCCTCGCCACCTCTGCAGCAACATTCTGACTTAAAAAAGTGCTGTAAACAGCTTTAATGATGCTGAGTGCAAAAAGGAGAAAGTGTCAGGCAATGTGAGTTGTCTGGTTGCATTTTGCGGAGAGTCTGACATTTGCACAATTAAGGGAAGAAACTGCATTCAAATATGAAGATAGATCTGTTGGGAGTTCTTAAGTAGGCAGAATAATGTAGAACGAAGGCAAGAGTTAGGCATCGTTAGTCTCTGATCTTCCTGCCTACATGTAGTAACTGAATGCGTTGTTCTTTCTTATGAAGCAGAACATTTTCTCTGTCCTGGGTGCTTATGGGAATGGGGAAACATTTCAGTACTGGCCAGACTGTGTGTCACACTAGCTGCAGCCATGTTTCTGGGGAGCAGCTGTTTGGAGTCAGGCAAAGGAGTTGAGAAATAATTCTGAAAACCAGTTGATTTGCATTTGAGCTCTTGTTGAATCATATTTCTCCTACAGTCCTTACTGGCAGGGCACCAATAGCTGCGGTAGTGCTCTCTCCTGCTTCTGCTGTTCTGTCCCACTCTTGTACAGCAGGGGATATAACTTGGAGACAAAGTAGACAACAGTATTGCACAGCATCCTTCAGCAACTGGAAGATTTAAAGCAGCTGCTTCATAAAATTAAGGGCTGCCAGATGTTCAAATGACTCTTGGCAGGGCATTCAGGGCTACCAAGGAGATCAGTGAGAACAAAAGCATTTTTCAAGTTCTGTGAAACAATGCTCTTATAAGCAGTGGAGAGAAAGCAAATGAGAAAATTGGAAGTAAGGTAACATAATGGTGTCTCAAGAAATTTGACAGAACACTCTCTGTACCTTTGCCTTTGTAACAGAACACGCATGTGGCCAATGTGGGAAGGAGGCTATCAAGTATTGTGGGATGCCAAAATTTAAAATAAGACATTATGAGAACAATAAGACGGGTTCATATTTCAACACATAACTTTGTAGGCATGTATTAGAAGGAAATGCTGATACTAACGAAAATCAAATAAATTCGTTTTTATCAAGGGATCTTTTTATTTGGCTGGTTTTGTTCTAGTCACTTGTTTAGGGGCTGCCATTGATCAGCCTCTGCGTAACAGGAGTATGATGTTCCCTTTTGGTAGAGTTATGGGTGCATATCTTAAATTGCTTCTGTTGTGTTCTCTAGCAGTGATGTACTTGGACCTGGCACGGCACCAACATGACAGGGTGTTTTGGTTTGTTGCATGAGTTTTAGACTTGACAATCGTTACAGTAGCTTTCTTGTCATCTTTAGTCTGTGCGTTCCCAGGGCAACGTACAGTAATACAGGCTCTTCTGTACACAGGTGCACTTGCATCTTGGTTCATATGATCTTACTGAAGTGTGCAGGGACAGATTACAGTGCTAAATACTCAGCCAGATGCAGAGGTGTGTTGCTATGACTTGATTCCAGCAGGTGCATGTAGGCGCTGAACACACCTAATGATACGTATGTGACCTTGAAGGCTGACCCTATGCCACTGCTCAGACTTCAGACAGATTTGCGTCTTTGTTGTGCTCAGCTGAAAGAACTGTAGCACTTCTCAGCTTAGAGTGAGTGCAGGGTGCCTAGCAGTGAAATCTTAGCACTGAACTCTTGATAAAAACACAACTAGAAGTTAGGAACTGACTTGTCAGACATTGCTTTTGAGTGGTCCCCTTCGCCATAGGTAGAATACTTTACAGAAATTCTAGGATCTTGACTGTAAAGATTCTGTGCAAGTGAAACTCCTTTTCATCTAGGGCTATTTTTATTTTCCTTTTTTCCAGTCGTTTGTCCAAGTGCTGCTAGTGGTCACCCACCACAGAACAGGAGCGTGATATTCTCCTCCGGCAACAATACAGGTTTTGAACTCTTCGAGGAGTGGTGGAACAAATCACACACAGTACCGTTTTACCTGATAGCTGTTCTTCTGCCCCTGCTAAATCTGAAGTCTCCATCCTTCTTTGCAAAGTTTAATGTCCTAGGTAAGTAACAAATACTATTAAAGCATTGGTTCATCGTGGATAAATGGGTAGAAAACAGAGAAAGCTTTTCCAATGAGTAGAATTATAAAATCATAGAATAAAATCATAGAATCATTTAGGTTGGAAAAGGCCTTTAAGATTGTAAAGTCCAACTGCTAACCCAGCACTGCCCTGTCCACCACTAAACCATGTCCCTAAGTGCCGTGTCTGCACATCTTTTAAATACCTCCAGGGATGGTGACTCAACCACTTCCCTGGGCAGGCTGTTCCAATGCTTGATAACCCTTTCAGTGAAGAAATTTTTCCTAATATCCAATCTAAACCTCCCTTGGCACAACTTGAGGCTGTTTCCTCTTGTCCTATGGCTTGTTACTGGAAGAAGAGACCGACACCCACCTTGCTACAACCTCCTGTCAAGGAATTGTAGAGAGCAATAATTAAGGCAGTTCAACTTGATGATCTTAAAGGTCTTTTCCAACCTAAGCAATTCTGTGATTCGAAAATACAACACAGGCACTTGGGTAAGTAATAGTGCTTCTGTGTAAAAAGGAAGGTTTTAACATAGAGTAGATATAACGTTAGGGATAAGAAAATACTTTATCAAGTAAGATCTAGCCGCAACTGTGTCTGCTTTTAAAATAAGCACATTATCATGTGCAACTATTTTTTTTATTTGAGAATCTGAAGATTAAAATACGAAATTTCTCATAACTTCAGCAGATTGAGTAATTCAGAAGCTGTTTGAAGGTGCCTTAATTTTTGTAAGCCTTGAACAATAGGATAAGAAAAAAGTGGAAGGCAATTTTTGCGAAGCTGAAATAAATCTTAATAGAGCACTTTAATTAATCTTTGCACCTACAGAAAGCTAAACCATTAGGAAACTACAGAATACTTTAGCTGTTAAGGTGATCCTCAAGTACAGAACCTTTTGTCTTCCTCATTCTGTGACTATGCTCCATGTAATCAAATGATAATTTCTTCAATTTATTTTTTAACCTTGGAGATATTGCTAGAGTGAAACAATGTCTTACTTGAATCTGTATCCTAAACTGTAAAATGCTGTTTCTTTGTCTTTACTTACTCATAGCCTATGCTCTGGTGACCAGCAGTGTTATTGGTCAGGAGGTTACAAAAGTAGCCCTAATTACTGTTGCACAGTTTCCTTCAACTTTTAGTTATTATTCTCCCCTTATCTCTTTCAAATGGCAGAAGCCAAGATCATGTGCTTTCCATCTCACATGCAGACACATCCAGGCATTTATACCCTTCCCTGTCTCACCTGTAGTCCTCTAGCTCTGCAGAGTATTGCTGGGCACCTCTGAAACAATGAGATGGAGTGCAAATCCAGTGTCGTGATCAAGATTATCCAAGGTTATGATCAAGACAAGGTTTAAATCAGTAGCGATCAAATGTCATTATCTAGCTCCTAGTGTAAAGTTCACAGTTGCAGTAAATGTTTATATCTCATTGGGCCGTTTGGTTTGCAAATTCAATGACTGAATGGGTGTTGTAATAGCTGCACTGCTGTGGCCAACTTTGTTTCATGTTAGGTTAAAATCCTGGCAGCTAAAGCTAGAACTGATCTGTTAACTGCCTAGAGAACTCCCTACCTGCCCAGCAGCAGGGATTACAGGGTACACTTCCACTGCCACTAGTGCAGCTTCTGGAGAACATTAAATATGTTGAAAGCTTGCATTGGGTGCAAGTGTATTATTGTTTCTCTCTGACCTATGAAAAAGATAAGGAGAATGAAAAATTAAACCTAGCCTGTGTTTTTAAGGATGAATATGAGCCCTAAGTGTTTAGGCTACTGGTAACTACTTGGATGGAACAAGAATAAAACACAGCACAAATACTTTCTCCTTCCTCATGGTGTTTGTTTGACTCTTGTCTTTTCTAGGTACAGTTTCAGTTGTCTACTTAGTTTTTCTGGTAACTGTAAAGGCTGCTCGTCTGGGAATTCATTTAGAATACAACTGGTTTACAGAGGACGATTTTTTTGTGCCAGGTAAGATAGTTAAAATGCAGTAATGAAGCATACGTATGATGAGGTTAAGGTTTTTTAAAGCCATTCATGAATGACTTTCTCATTTACCTTTTAACACCTCTGTGGTATAAGTAAAGTAAGGAAATGCTGTCTGCTATAGCATATAGAGGCTTATAAAGGATCCCTTGTGACAAAGTAACAAGGAATCCCTTGTCAGGGATCAGTATCAACACTGTGGAGAAGAGGAGGAGTGCTCATCAGAGGCATCTCCAATGTGTATCCTGTGACAGGGAGCTCGCTATAGAATCATAGAATGGTTCAGGTTGGAA